TATGAAACTTGGTTGCTATATTTCGTATGTATGTCTATGTTACTTTAATTCATGAGGACTGTATCGCGGTTAAGTCCCTGGAATCTCTAGACATAACTCATTAACTCTTTTGAGCCTATGGTTATTATGGATAACGCTATCAGGAGGTAGACAACTCCTCACTCGCACGATTCGCTTGAGTGCATTTTACCATTTTGTTCACTATGTTTGCGATACACATAGTAGTCAATAGGGCACGATTCGGTCATTAGGCTTGGGTCCATGAATGGAAACTTGATGCACATACGAATCTTACATCACATTTTAGCGACGAAACCTGTATACTCATTTTAGCAACAAAACTTGTATACTCATTTTAGCAACAAAACTTATATACTCATTTTAGCAACGAAACTTGTATACTTATTTTAGCAACGAAACTTGTATACTCATTTTAGCAATGAACTTTTACTACTGAAAACTTATATACTTGTTTTAGCAATGAAATTGTTTGCTCCTTGTAACAACGAATATTATTTCGATTCTTGAAAACTCATTTTAGCAATATACTTTTATTTATGGAAACTTTTATCAAAACTTTTATTTCGATTCTTGAAACAAATATTATTTTTAATCTGTGAGTACTAACCAACTATTTTTATAGTTGACGCTCGTTTTACATGCTTTTTTAGGAATCATCTAGTAAGAGACACGTAGAGACACAAAACTTGTAGGAACATTTGCATGTGTTGACTTTTAAATACGTTGTAATTTCTTTTAAAAAGTTGTTCAAACTCATTGTAAATTTGTAATGATTTTTAATACTATGGTTGGTGTTGTCTTTAAACTTTTGCTATGAGACCCTTTGTACTGCCACGCCTCGTGTTTCCGCTTTAGCGGGGTGTTACAAAGTAGCTGGAGAGCATTAGTATCCATACCAACAGAGTAAATTCAGATGTATCATGCCTTACAGATTGGGAACTATATTGAAAGGAATTTATATGAAGAGTTTGGAAGTGGAGATTCCTAGTGACCTAGGAAAAATATTAGAATATTCTAGATCGAGCATATGCACGAGAAGAATCCTGGAAGAAAAATCTAGGAAACTTTAAGATGTGTTCCGTAAAACACATGGTTATTATTAGAGCGCCTAGAAGAGACGCGAAAATCCTAGTAGATTCTAGGGAAAAATTTTGTATGTGCTTTTTTAGACACACTTATGTGTGTTAAGTTGTTTTTTGGTTATCACGTATAGTGACTTGGGGACTACGAGACAATTCTTGGGATGAGTATGCATAGTTGTGAAATGTAGTAATGGCCTATACTACCAAAAGTACAGGATCCATACTTGAATCAAGAAGAGTAAGAAGGTTACTAAGGCACTAGTAGTTGAGTTTGTTTTGTCTATTTCCGTCATCTACCTACATGTTGGTGATGACTATGAAAATGATTTTTGTTCAAACCCTAGTGGCCATGAAGTATCGAGTCCGATTAAAATAAATATACGAAGTGTGTTACTTGGTTCAAAGAACCATGTCCGGTGTTGTGACTGACTTTAAACAAAAGATTGGAGATGGAGATGATCACCGTGATCGAGAGAAGTATTGCAGCCTTCGTTAAGGTTGAGCAACCAGTAGCTAGAAATGTTGCATGCTATGATGTGATGTACCACATTAGAACATACAGGAAGGTTTCTTCCGTGTTAGTGTTTGACTCATAGAGACAAGAGTGTAATTCATTGCACGATGCAATGGAAGGTTATTAGAGTGTGACCATTCGGCCTATTACTATAGCCAAGGTAAAAGACCTTACCTTAGGTTGAGTTTACGACCTAACTTAAGAAGAAGCAGGAGTGTCCAATGAAAATTGAGTTATAACTCATGAGTTAGGACTGGAGGTGCATCGAAAGGTAAGAGAACATATGCAAGTGTAGGCACCACTTCGGTCTCTTTTGTGACAACAATCAATTTTGGGTCAAACCAGGTCAACTTAACTTGTATTAGAATGTTAAGAGAAATGTGATATTCCCTAATGTTTCTAATGTACTATTGACAAATTATAATACAAAGTACCTCTCTGGTTGCCATTTATCGAATATAAACCCTAATTAGGGTTAGTAACGTAACAACTCGATAATTCAATTATATATTATTTGGGTATAAATAATATTCGTAACACAATGTAGTGGAGTTCATAAACCCTACACTACATGGCAAATTCGTATCAAAGGTTACATATACAAATTTTTGGTGAATTCGTCACCAAACGCGACACATTCTATACCCGGCCTAAACACCCAACTTTTAACGGAAAGAATCTAGGAATCAACCTGATTTTCGAGTAACATATTATTATTTTTTATAATAAGGATTTTTGTAATAATTTGAATTTTTATAATTCAAATTAAATATTTATGCATCATTTATACCATGTTTCATTATAAAAATACCATTTTTTTATAAAAATGCCAAGTTTTATAAAGAGTTGACTTTTTTTATAATAAAACACTAGAAACCAGAATGTTCCCCACCTTATGCTAACACTAGCATGCAAATCTACAAGAACATACAGTAGACATATAAGACATCCTTCCTAGATCCTTAGCCCTAATCCAGCATGCAGTTCACATATTCTCAATTCATATCATGACATAACATAACATAACATAACATGTATGGGTATCTTGGGGAAAACTTACTTGAGCTCGGTTGATTGCAAGCATCACACTCCTTATTCTTTATCAAAACTCTTTATTTTAATTTTCAGAAAACTAATTTCTTGTAAAAATCTTTCAAACCCCAGTTTTGAGTCCAGACACACCCGAGAGTGTGTCCGAATCACTTAAATCGGGGCTCTAATACCAACTTGTAACATCCCAAAATTTAAGACCAAAAATTTCATTTTTAATTAGGTTATTATAAAACCGATAGTATAAAACATCCATAAAAACATCCCATGCCAAAACCAAAGTGTCAATAATCAAAGCATGTTATCATAAAACAATATCAGAGTGTAATCCCAAAGATCTCATGTGCGGAAAACATAGTGTGATGCGCTACGATCGCCGACTCCTTTCCTTTGAAAACGAAGTACCTGAAACCAAACCTGAAAACCGTAAGCACGAAGCTTAGTGAGTTCCCCCATCATACCACATACCATACATAACACATACTGTATAACATATCCGGGTACTAGTTACCCATTCGGTCTCTTTCAACCGGTAACTTGCCTAGCATATCAGGGTGCTGGCCTACCCCTTCGGTCCTGTCGACCGGTAACTTGCCTAGCGTACCAAGGTGCTGGCCTACCCATTCGGCCATGTCGACCGGCACATCGCCTAGCATATCAGGGTGCTGGCTTACCCCTTCGGTCCTTTCGACCGGTACCGGGGACTATTTCACCCCCTACTCTACCACATAACATCCTAGTGCATAAACATATAAGTCATATACTGCCTAGCTTATCTGGGTGCTAGCATACCCCTTCGGCCCTATCAACTGGTACCGGGGTCTATCCTACACCTCCTATCACATATCACATAACATCATAGCATACTAGCACATAATCATAACAGATAGCAACATACCAGATAATTATCACAAAGACAATCATCTTTACTATAACTCTTACTAGTAGGCCGACCTTGGTGCCTTAGACCCACTTCTACTGGAAGGTAACTCACCTCGCACTGCTGAAGTCCTGTAGACAAAACTCTAGCTGTTGGATGACAAGTTCTCGAACTGTCAATCATCAAAATAACACCCAATCAGTAATTAAGTTCCAATACATATCCATAAGTCCATGCTTAGTGTAAAAGACTACTTTACCCCCATCTTAGCTTGATTCAAACTCAAGGCCCAATCCAAAGGCCCAAAAGTCCAACTATGAATCAAAGCCCAACATATGGCCCAATTTTCCAAATTGGGCCCAAACCTTTACATGGTCTTATCCTAAGGCCCAACCATTTAGTCCAGTCCAAACATTTGGCATTTCTAATGGCCCAATATCTCATAATCATAAAGGCCCAATTATGGCCCATCTATGGCCCAATTTTCCAAATTAGGCCCAAACCCCTCACATGGGCCTTACCCTAAAGCCCATCCATATATTCTTTATCCATATGATTGTTCTTGGATGGCCCATCAATGCCAAGTCCCAAAAGAAAGGCCCAACTCAAAGCCCAAGTGAAATTAGGGTTTTCACATAAAATGACGATTAGGGTTAAGTGTTTCTTACTTAACCCATTAAGGACTTAATACATTAAGTCCATCACTCTACTAGATAAATCATATGGTGTGATTGGGTGTAATTCACAATTCCATTCCAATGGCCTAAAATGCGGGTCCCGATAAGTCCAAACCAATAATTCCAAAATTAGGGTTTTCTAAACCCTATTTAGGTTTTTCAACCCAATCACAACCCATTTAGGCCCAATAGCTATGTCTTTGGATCAGTTAGGGTTTCATTAGGCCTACTAGGGTTTCATTAGGCGGGCACCACCCACTACCACCTCGGGTAGTGGTGGTCAACAGCGGCTCACGACGGCGGCCACCACCTCACGGTGATGGTTATGGTTCTAGTCCATTTTTGTCCAAGCATCCCAAAAGCAACTAAACACAATTAAAAGCACACCACCACCCAAAACGGCGGCTGGTGGCAGCAGCCACCACCTCACGGTGATGGTTATGAGTTTTCTTATCATTATACAAGCACCGATTACAATTTACAACACAAATCCTAAATAAACACACACATACACTAAAATAAACACACACACACACAACCACCCTTGTGGTGGCCGGCGGTGGCACATGGTGGCAACCACCACCTCACATTGGTGGTGGTGGCTGTTTTCAGTTTTCCGGCCAAACAAACTACATACAACACTCCATCGGAAATAAACACGCACATAACACCAAAACATGCAAATCCATCGCCAAAAACGCACCAATATCGGCCACCCTGAGGTGGCGTGAGGCAATCGAACGGAAAAGCGGCAGAGACTCACGAAAGTGGCAGCAATGGCGAAACCAACGGAACTGAAACATATCACTGGCAAAGCGACGACGACCAGAAGAATGGCGGCAACAGAACTCAGCAGAAAACCACCGTAGGGAACAACAGCGGCGCGTCTTCAGCCAGGAACAACGACAACTAGGGTTTGGCAGCTTGTCGTCAACAAAAGTGGGCAACGGCAGCAATGACGCAACGGCAGTGGTGGCGGCGCTACTCGACTGGTGGCTCCCGGTCTTGGTGTTTATTCCAGTTCCGCCTACGTCTCCGACAACCGGGTTGCGAATGGTGCTTAATGGCGAGGTAGGAGGCGGCGACCTTGTGGTCGTCGGCAAAGGAAGATACGGCAGTGAACATTCTCGCCGGCATCAACAGTTTGTGGTGGTGGCTTCGGTGGTCGGAGAAGCAAGAGAGTAGGGTGGCGGCCGATGGTGGGAGGCATAAGGGTGGAGGTAACGGCTGATATGGTTCCTAGGGTTAGGGTTATAGTTTGGACATATATATATATATATATATATATATATATATATATATATGCATGAGAGGGTGGCAGGTTATGCCCGTAACTTTCAATTCTTATTTCATCTTTTTACGCTTCCAGCCCTCCTCTTAAGAATCTATTCCAATTAGCTCCAATATTTACCAATCACACCCCAGCTTCTATAATTCATCTCAAATTCGATCCATATTTTACCAAACAACCCCTTAGCCTCCGAAATCTCTTCAAATTAAGTCCCAATAATTTATCAAGTACTCCCTGCCTTCATAATTATTTACGAAACCAATCTAAAACTTACACTTTTAACACCCGACTTCTAAAATTGTGACAGTTAGCTCCTCGAGACCAACACCTTGCTACATAATTATTAATTTTAGGGCTACTATTCATTAATTAATTAATTAATTTATTTATTTAATAAATAGGGTGTTACGTCATACCCCTTCATTTTCGTTTTATCCAAGTTTGAGGGGGGGGGGATACAAGTAAACTTGTATAATAACATGGGTTGTTATGCATGCTTCTTCTTTATGTCGTGTAAAAGTATTATTTGCATGAAATAATGTTATTACCTAGTTAGAAGAACATTTATATGTGGTGTGTTTGTTTAAAATGCAAAACTATGAAAAATGAGTATAAATGTGCCACATAAAAAGAGTCATAAAAACAAAACTACAAAAAGTATGGTTTTTATGAACACTACATGGGATTTCTAGCAAAAATGGTCATAACTAGGTTATGGCACCATTTTTATGAGATTTGACCCAAAATATATTATTTTAAACATATAAGGTTAGTTTGACTTAACCTCCATAAAAATGTAAAAATAAACTTTTCAAAGGTTTTAACTCAATATTTACCGTTTACGACCTAAAAATGGCAAAGACCAGAAAACTGATTTTATCATACCATTGGTTCATATATTTGTGTTTGGATGTATAATATATGTTTATGAGTATCTAAACATGTTATCTTTTATATATATATATATATATATATATATATATATATATATATATATATATATATATATAACTACGTAATACTATTTTAAGTATAGAAGTACTTATACATTTTTGGGTCTTAGGGTTTTTATGACTACCACTCATTTTTAAGAAAATATTGGATTTTCTGGGAACGAACACTATCATTTTACAAGGAAAAAGTTACAGATTTTCACATACAAAACTCTTATGAACTTACAAACTTAAATTTTGACACTTTTCAAAACTACTTGTATTCTCAAGAAATCGTTAAGCAGGTATCACAAGGTTTTTGAGGATGGAACGTTACGACGTCACGTTATTTACTTTTGTCATAATGTAATTGGTATTGAAACAAACAACATTTAGATACAATGTAATATTCCTAATTATAGTTATGATGGTTGTTTTGCTTTGATCACTATTATTCATTATGTTGTGATACTGTTCATGAAAGTCATCCACCCCAGACGTTTCCGCCATCCTGGTTTGGAGGTGTGACATCTTTCAACCAGTATTGAGTCCATTTCACCCCTACCATTACCACATAATATCATAATAAAAGATTCATAGAGACATCAATAAAATACATGCATAACGGACAATTGTTACGAAGACAATCATCATACTACAAGCATAATCGAGTGGGCCGACATTGGTGCCTTCGACCCACGAATACAGTGAAGGAAACTCACCTTGGACTGAAGATATCAAATCACACTCGGGCTGCTGACTCTCGAAATCCTCTCACTAGAACATAAGTATAAAACCTTAATTAGAAATTAGGTCAATAATCTAACCCGAGAGTTTAAACCCTAAGTTCTGATTTAAGGGTAAAAATGTTGCATAAACCCTGCCTTATTGGGCCTACACTATCAAGGCCCAAATCCAAACTAGCCCAAAATGAATTCCAAGTTCAACTAAAAAGAGAGCCTAAGGCCCAAACACGGGCCCAAGAACTCCATGATAGCCTAAGGCTCACAAATGACCTAATACTGCAAATGGGCCTACGACCCTAACTCGAGCAAGGCAGAAGCCCAACAAATCCTGAGCCCAAAATGCCAAAGGCCCACAGACAGACGTACGCGCAGCGTACCTGGAACGTACGTCCGGCGTACGTTGCTAATCCGAAAATCGCGGGGCTGGCCCAGTACGTACAGTGTACTCATGAGTACGCCCGACGTACTGGTCAGACAACCATCCATTAAGATTTTGTATTAACCCATTAAGATTTTGAAGTCCAAAATCAGATCCAAGTTCATTATAGTGTATTAAGCCATAAAGTTTCAAACTTTTTGTTTTTCATGACTTAATGGGACTCAAACCATGGATTAAGCCTTCTATCTCCCTTAAGTGGTCACCAACTCATGAATGGTTGAGTTCTAACCTCCAAGATACGATTTTTTGATTTCATTCACCACTAAGAGCCCAAAAGGACAGCTCAAATGGTATGGAGTAGCCATACTCCAAAAGACCAAGTTACGGGACCAAAAGATGCTAAGTTCTTCCCTAAAGCTAGATCGAGAATTAGAATGAGCAAGTTTCAGAATTTATACTTCCAATGAGCTAGAAATGATGCACAACCTTTTTATCTACAAGCTTCTTCTTGCCATTTGCTTCTTCTCAAGCCTCCTTCCTCTTCAGGATCACAAAATGAACACCCAAACTCTTAGTAAGCTCAAGAATGATCTTCAAGATGGATAGGGTTTCGAGATAAGCACAAAAGGCAATGGGGGCTAATAAGGTGAAAGACTTGATGGGTTTAATGAGCTTAAATAGGGTCCAAACCCTAAAAATTAGGATTTTCACCTGGCTCGTGTACGTCACGCGTGGGCATGGGTACGCCATCGTACGTAGGGGACGCCCCGAATTTGCGCATACATGGGAGTACGTCGTGCGTACCTTGTGTACGCCCAACATACTCCGGTCTAGCCCACGGGTAAAAGAAATTTAATGTAAGAATTTTACCTGGCGAATCCGGACGTTACACTTTAGGGTTTCTTGATGTTCATAGTTTATTGCTATCGATAGAGAAAACATAGATCCTTTCTATGTTGTATGTGAACTTAAGGGTGTAAGTGTTTTTCCGCTCAAAGGTAATTTTTTATAACCTAGAAAACCCATCAAGAACTACATATATTTTTTCTATCATCCCATCTTGATCGCTCATATCTCCTCCTTCAAGAGTGACATTTGAAATTGAATTGGAGAAAATAAAATATGAATTAAAGAATGTTGGAACTAATTGCAAAGAATGTATAATTTTCGAAGTGGTTGAGTGTGCCTAAAAATGCTTTTTTTAAAACAAATGTGTCTTAACGGTCAATAAGATATATATATATATATATATAATATATATATATATATATATATATATATTATACATTCCCTAATAAACAAAGCCTAAACTTGTCATTTTTAAATCTATTGAACAATATGTTGTACAAGTGACATCTTTTCCCAAGTCTATTTGTTTGTAATCCCTCTCAAAACTTTTAATTATGGAAATTCATAGACATATATTATTTTTGTAACATCCTAAAATTTAAGACTAGGATCTTAAATTAATAAAGTAAATAAATGAAAATGATTTATAAAGTTAAATCATTAAGGAATAATCATATTAGTAGTTGATATGAAGTTTAGAAAGTTAGAAGTAAAAATAATAACATTTTAAAAAGTTAAAGGGCTAAAAGTGTCAAGTTAGCAAAGTGAGTTGACTAAAGGGTTGACTCAATTAATGGAAGGGACTAGAAAAGTTATATAAAGGATGGGGAATGACTTATTATGTCAAAACATAAGTTGAAATCACAAATATTGAGAATTGGTGAATTTTGACCAAATCAAACAAATGTGGGGGACCAAAATTGTAAATCTGGAGAAATAAGATGCATCCATTCCCTCATATGGAGAAAAACCTATTTGAGATTCTTACCACTTCCTATAATGGAGATTTTGATCTCAAGGGTTTTAGGGTTTCTTCCAAGTGAGGAATTAAGCAACCATGAAAAGAAGAGAACTAATCAAGCCTTGAAAGGTATAATTTCTATGCATTTCAACCTAGAAATCGATTTTGTGAAGTGGGTAAACCCCAATGTCGAAATTAGTATGATTCCTTGATTAGGGTTTGGTTTTCTAACCTCCCTTGAGTTTTTTTGATGATCTCAACCTCAATCCAATCATCCCATTGATGGATTTGAGGATTTTGGTGAAAACCCCCATGAACCCTAGAAATTCAACTTGGGGATTTCATGTTTGTATGTTAAATTGGAATGGATTCAATGACCTAGATGATTTTTGATGACAATGAACCCAATTAAATTAGTCAAACTCATCCATGATGGTAGAATCATGTACAAACTTGGATTGAAATGGATTTGGGGACAACATGATGAATTTAATGGAATCCATTGTAGTTGAAGTATTTGATGAGTAAAGGAAGTTCATAGTCATGAATGAATACTTTTGAATGATTTGGATTCAAAAATATGAAGGCTTGAATGATCTTTCGATGGATGTATGGAATATTGGCCATAAGGGCATTTTGGGTAATCTATTTATAATTGTTGGGTTTTTGAGCACTACAACATTCCTATGGTGTACATGCAAACCCTAAAGCTTTTGGATCTAGTTTGTCTAATGAACGTGCAATAATCATCCAAATCCATAAACCCTAGATCTAGCATGTGATAATCAATATTAACATAAGAATAGGATTTAGATCTTACCTTTGATTGTTATGTAGTAATAACAATTTATTCCTTCTTATAATTGGCTTCTAAAAGCTTAGAGTCACAAATGTCACTCCGCTAATGGCTCACAAACACCAAGAGAAAGAGGATGAAGAAGGAGAAGAGGAGAGGCACTCAAAAACGTCTAGAAACCCTTAGGAATGAGTTAGCCACGTTTTTGGGGCCCTAGGGGTCCTTAAATAG